GACTCGCACGCCCGGACGCCTGCTGCCCCAGCTGGTCCAGGGCGCTGGCTGACTCAGGCAAGTCCTGACCTCTCGGGCCTCAGCTTCCCCCTCTGGGAATGGAACACCGAGCACCTCCCCGGAGGGTTGAGTGAGGACAACATGAGTTAAGCTACTTATGTCATCTCTGGAATCTAACCGCGTGCAAGCCCGGGCTCTGCCCAGTCCCCACTGGGACTTCACTGCTCAGTTTCCTCCTCTGGAAAGAGACGGGTATTAGTTTCCTGACACTCACAGGGATACTTAACAACTCCGCTGTCTGCCGGCACGGTGGCTCACACCTGTAATCCTAGCACTCTGGGAGGCAGAGGCAGGAGGAGGGAGGATCGCTCAAGGTCAGGAGTTCGAGGCCAGCCTGAACAAGAGCGAGACCCCATCCCTACTAATAATAGAAAGAAATTAATTGGCCAACTAAAAATTATATAGAAAAAGTTAGCCGGGCAGGGTGGCTCATGCCTGTAGTCCCAGCTATACTCGGGAGGCTGAGGCAGGAGGATTGCCTGAGCCCAGGAGATTGAGGTTGTGTGACCTAGTGACGCCACGGCACTCACTCTAGCCTGGGCAACAGACTGAGAGTCTGTCTCAAAAAAAAAAAAATAAGACTCCGCTGTCCTTGATTTGGCAAAAAAAAAAAAAAAGGAAAAGAGAGACCCTGCTGCTTCCTATAATGAGTGCCATTTATTAAGCACTTGCTGTTCTAGGCATTCCTGCTCCGTACCTCAGTCTGCTCATCTGTGAGATGGAGCTAAACATAGGAAGACGCAAGTGGGGATCGAGCTCCCTGCACAAGGCCAGGACTAAGAGCTGCGAGTGTGGCGGCCAGTGCCCCGCCTGTCCCCATTTTCACGGCGGTCATTGAAAGCATGCAGCATAGATCTTAGCACATACATCTCGGCAAGTGCTCAGTAAACATCCTCTTCTCTCCCAGCCTCTTTGGGATTAAATGAACCCAAGCCCAAACAAACCCTGGCTCAGGGACCTCGGACACCCTCGCTCTCCCTTTCCGAGCCTCAGTTTGCCCATCGGGAGAATGGGGTTGCCATGGAAAGCGTGAGGCTGCAGCTAAGCCCTGGGGCGGGGAGGGGGTGCAGCACGCAGGAGAGCGCGGGAGCCCGAGGCCGGCCGGTCACTGTGTTCAGAGCATCTTTGCCTTGGCTGGGCGGGCGGCGGAGTCCTCTGGATTGTGACACGCCTCCCCCCGCCTGTGACCTCACCCCGAGCAGCCAGTGGGAACCCCGAGGGATCTGTGAGGTCACCTCATTCCACTCCACGGACTCTTGTCGGGCAGCGGCTGCTGGCCACCTCCGTCCCTAGGGCTCAGGGAGGGACACAGAGCTTTGGGAACCGAGGACGTTCTGAGCGCCAACCCTGGGAGGCCCGAACGAGGGGCAAGCGTCGCGCGGGCGGGGCCAGTCCCGGGGGGTCACTCATTCGGCGGTTCCAGGAGGTCCAGGAAGCCCACGGCCTGGCTCGGGCACCGTCCACGCCGCCAGGCCACCATGGTCCTCGGCTGGCTGCTGCTTCTGGTGATGACTCTGCCCCCGGGCACCGCGGGGCTCAAGGACTGCTTTTTCTGTGAGCCCACCGACTCCGCGCACTGCCCCGCCACCCTCATGCACTGTGGCGACGACGAGGACTGCTTCAACGGCCGCGGGGTGGCCCCGGGCACCGGGCCGATCATCAGCAAGGGCTGCGTGCATTCCACCAGCTGTGGCCGCGAGGAGCCCGTCAGCTACAAGGGCGTCACCTACTCCCTCATCTCCACCTGCTGCGTCGGCAACCTGTGCAACGGCGCGCCCCGCCCCGAGAGCAGCCGGTCGGCAGGGACTGCCGCCAGCCTGGCGCTGGGGCTGGGCTTGCTGCTACCTCAACACGTGCTGTGACCAACAGGGAGGGCGGGGCCTGGGGTTGGTGTCCCCGCTCTGCCACTGCCCCCACCCGTGCCCCCACCTCCTCCCCCCATTGAACAGCCTGAGGCCCTGCACACCCTCTCGTGGCCCTGGCTCCATCCCTTCTAGGGCTGTCCACCAGGAGCCCGGGGCTCGGTGAGGCACGCTCAGGCCTGATGTGACAGTGGGGACAGTCCATGGGTTTGGTCACACTGCTGTCTGTCATTGGTTCTTAGACGCAGGTCTTCTCACATTTCCATCCAGATGTTTCTTTCCACGGGTTGCCCCTTAGACTCCATGAAATGTGGTAAAAATATATAAATAATAACAATAATGACAGCTGATATTTACGGAGCACTTCGGATATTCCGTGCCGGGCACCACTGTCGCACTGAATCCTCACGAGAAGCTGGACGGTGGATGCTCTTCAAACATCCCAGTCGTGGCGGCGCGGTGGCTCACGCCTGTAATCCTAGCACTCTGGGAGGTCAAGGCGGGAAGATCACTCAAGGTCAGGAGTTCGAGACCAGCCTGAGCAAGAGCGAGACCCCGTCTCTACTAAAAATAGAAAGAATTAATCAGCCAACTAAAAATATATAGAAAAAATTAGCCGGGCATGGTGGCGCATGCCTGTAGTCCCAGCTACTCGGGAGGCTGAGGCAGGAGGATCGCTTAAGCCCAGGAGTTTGAGGTTGCTGTTAGCTAGTGACGCCGGCACCCTAGCCCAGGCAAAAAATCGAGACTCTGTCTCAAAAAAAAGAAAAAAAAATCCCAGTCTCGGCACTAGCAGTTTTCAAAGTGGAGTCCTCGGACTGGCAGTATCGGCATCAACAGGGAATTTTCTGAATGCAGATTCCTGGGCTCTGTCCCTGTGGATGAATGGGGTGGGGCCCCAGAGCGTGTGTTCTAACAAGTCCCCCTGGTGGTTCTAGTGCAAACTGGAGGGTGAGAATCACTGGGTCTCAGCTATGGTTCTCCGCCGCCACCTCCACTCTCCAGGGGACGTGTGGCCATGTCCGGAGACTTTCTCGGTTGTCATAACTGGCAGGAGGGTTGAGGATGAAGATTCGGCTCAGCGTCCTACCGTGCACACAACAGCCCCCCCAAAACAGAACTCTCCAGTCCAAAATAGGTCCTACCTCTGTTGGGAAACCTTGTTCTAGAGGCACTAACCAAATCAGCCCGCTCTGTAGAGGGGAACTGAGGCACAGAGAGGTGAAGTGCATTGCCCGAAGTCACACAGCTAGTAACGTGGCAGGCCAGGATCTGAGTCCACGCCCGCCTCACCCGCCACCGCCCTGTGACCCTGTGAGGTAGGTGCTGTTGTTACTCGCACTTTCTAGACAGGGAAACAGTCTGAGAATGGGGGAAGCACCCCAAAGCAAAGCGTTTGGGGTCAGTGGAACCCCGAAGAAAGGAAAGGAGGGACGTGAGCCCATCTGTGGGTCGGGTCATCTGACAGTGGCTCTTCCTCTGTCACAGACACTCAGAGAGTGAAGTTACTGACCCAAGCAGAGCTCAGGCTCAATCCGGGTCCTCCTGGTTTTGAACCCTAGCCCCCGAACTGCGGCCCAGTTTCCCAGATGAGGAAACACAAGGTCAGAGAGGAAAAGCCACCTACCAAAACCACTGCAGGCACAGCAGGGCCGGCGCGGGCACCAGCCCAAGCCTGCCCTGCCCACGCTACCTCTCTCTAGGGAAGGGTGATTGGGACCCATTTTACAGATGAGGAAAGAGAGGCCGGGCAAGGGATGCTCGTTTCTCTCGCGACACTGGGGGCACACTGGGTAACAGAAATCAGGAGGCATGGCGGGGGTGCAGAGGCCAGTACCTGTAGGATCCATGGAAGATGACCCTGTCACCGTCAAGCGAGCACGAACTTCTCCCGCCACGTTGCGCTCACCTGCCGTCGCCAGCGACTCTGGAAGCTGCGGGCCCCGCACGACGCGATAGTCCAGGTTCTAGCGGGCGTGGGGACGGGAAGGCACACCCTCGCTAGGGTCCTCCAGCTGGCTTTACCTGGGCGACCCATGGACTCCGTACAGTGTCTCTCCAGTTTCCCCAGATCCTCAGGCGTTCTTAGAGATACCCGAAGCTCTCTGGCTCAAGACCGTGGGGATGTCCACCACCTCGGCACGGACATCAGGGGCATCCAGCTGGGATCCACCTCGTGCCCTGGCCCCCCATGAGGAGCCGTCCCTGCCTACCCCAGGCCAAGGGAATGGGACTCATGGGTCTTTGGCCTGGCCCCTACCTCTGTGGCCCAGGGGTTCAGCCCAGCTGCTGCCAGTGCCAGGGAAAGCGGCACCGCTGGCGGTCCAGGAGCAGGTAGATCCAGGGACCCACGGCGCGTGGCGGCAGCACCAAGTCCCAAAGCAAGGTCTGGGTCAGTGAAGGCATCCCATGACCACGGCCACCAGCTGGGTGGGGAGAGGGGATGTGGGCATGCAGATGGACCCTTGGTTTTGGGGATATCAGGGGGGCTGGGGTCTGACACTGGGGATGGGGGCTGGGCCTGACATTGGGGACAGGGTGGTGGTGCTCTGGGCCGGAGCTTAAGGGCCGGCCTCCGGGGATGCTCAGGGGGGCTGAAAGGGGACACGGTGCTGCGCGAATGAGAAAAGCGGCCCCCCTGCAGCCCCCAGCCCTAACTGCTGGAAAACCGTCATTGTGACTCAATGTCTACAACAAGGAATGGGTGGCTCCCTTGATCTGTGACGTTACGGTACCCACTCCACGGGCCCAGGGCATTGGCTGATGCCTTGCAGGCACCGTGGGTAGTGACTTGCACATTCGGCTGGGAGTGTCCACGGGTGCTGGGGGTGGGAGAGGTGACCTGCCAGGCCACTGAGGTAGCTTTGGGACCGAATGTACTGAGAACCTGATCTTGCAGGCAAAATAAAGTAGTGGTAAAATCCTGACTCACCAGCCAGATGGCCTTGGGTTCAAATCCCACTCGGCCACTTACAAGCAATACATTTACCAATGCTTGCCTCAGTTTCTCTATCTCCTCAATGGGCATCACTGCCCTCTTCCAGGGCTTCTCCGAATCTACGCACATCAACAGGGACCACTGAGACTGGGGGGACAGAGCCATGGCTGCCAGACATGCACCACCCCCCTGGGGGGCTGGCGGCCCGGCCTGGTCTGGCGGGATGGGTGGGTGACTGGCGCTGGGGGTCACACGGTTAGGTTTAAGGCATGGCTGGCTAAGGGGCACCAGGTCTGGGAGCGGGTAGGGCGCCCAGACCTGCGAGGGGAGGACGAGGTTCTGGCGAGTGTGGACTCCGGTTACAGGTCATGGGGGACGTGGACTGAGGGTACTTGTAAGTCCCGGGAGACAAGGGAGAGGCGCCTGGGACCGTCGAGCTGGCACGTGTGGATGTCCAGGTGTGGGAATGACTCCCGACCGAGGCACCTTGTGGGCAGCCTGGATCTCCGGCGTACTAGCTCCTTAGGGGCGGGTGCCCTCTTGCAGGGGCTTGGGTGACAGCTGTGCCGGGTGATCCCCTTCCAGGCCGAGTCCTCCGCCACCCAGCCGCAGGACAGTCGCCGCTCTGCTCCCCCGACTGCCCCGGGCCAGTTAGGCTCAGGCTGCCCACGTCCTCCTCCCACAGTGCAGCGGTCCCTCTGCTTGTCCCCGCCGGGCTCCGCT